GCGAAGATAAACAATCGCTGTATTTATTAACACAAATTTAGATTTATTTGCAGCTGCCATCAAAGTTGTAGGGGGGGGAGAGGGGCAGTCCTCTTTCCCATTCACTGACGAAAGGTTCAAGGTTAATTCATTTTCTTTCGATGATTCATTTTGTTTTTCGTCAATTTTATGTAACAGCGAATGATGTGTGTCTTTCTTACAGAACATAACAACTGAAGTTTAGCCTTACACTGCGATAATACGTGTGATGGAGAAAGGCATTTAATGCATAATTTATATTCTTTAACAAAATCATACCGCTCAGAAACAGAAATACTCTTAAATTTCGAACAATGATAAATTGGGGTGTGGTTCTTTACACATAATACACTTTCGAAAAGGGTTTGTTTTAGTTACCAAGGATTTTGAATTTCTAGAGCGACTTAATTGATTTGATACTTTAGTAGCATAGCTCTGCTTAGGAAAACTAACTTTGTTTATTTCTTCAAGAATGCGAATTCTTTCTTCGAGAAATTCTAAAAATTCATCAAGTTTTGGAATTTCATTTGAGTTTACGTTTAGTTCAAATGCTTTTCTAGATTCTCTATCTAATTTATACAATAAAATATTTAATATCAAAACATCAGATAAATTATTTCTATCAAATTCTAATACACTTAAAGATCTCAAACATCTTTTAACATTATCTACCAGTGATCTCAACTGAGGGGTGAGTCATTTATTTTTTCAAAGTTCAACAAATTATTAATAAAGGCATCAACTACTGCTCTTTTGTTTTCATATCTGCTTTCAAGTGCAGAAAATAGCGACTCAAATGTATCCTGACATGATTCTAACATTTTTGCTTCACCTTTAAGTGATGCTTTCAAATAAAACAGTTTCTCAGTATCATTTAAATTATTATTATTACCAATCATAGACATAAATTGCACTTTAAAATTTTTAAAATCTTCATATTTACCATAAAATTGAGGAAGAGGTAAATCAGGCAGTTTAAAATTTGATTTAGAAACAGTTTTGGTTTCAAATTTATCTTTATTATTTGTTTCACAATTAGAAAGAAAAATTCTAAATCTTACTTCGAACTCTTCGATGCTTTCTTCCAATTCTTGTGTAATGCTTAGATTATCCTTCAAGTCAATTTCCTCTGGCAAATTGGTGTATTCCACTATGAGTTGTTTAACCCGAGATTTTAATTCCAACAAAGAATCCAATTTAGTCTTCATAATAACATCATGGTTGAGTTTATTCTCCTCCATTTTATACTCATCAAGGAATTTTATCAAAGCTCCGAGTTTCGTTTTCACTACGCCGCGTTGGCGATTCAATGAAACAATATTAGTAGCCATTATTCTTCTCCGGCTAACGTGAGACCAAACTGTTCTTGCCGAAGATAGCTCGAACTTATTTAATGATACTTAACTTCAGTAAGTGGACTGTAATATTAACAATAACAATTTTATTTTAACAAAAACAGCATTATTGAATACTAGCACACGCATGTGCTTATAGTTACCTATGTAACTTAGCTAAAGAGCGAGCAACCATATGCTCTTACATCAAGTCAGAAATCATTCATACTAATAAAGCAAAAACGAAACAACTTTAGGGTTACACTAAATCCAAACTCTGCTTGGCGTGAAACAATGCTGCCAAGCAATACTCTTTCAGACACCGAACAATTGTAATTTGTGACTTTTTTCTGTTTGCTAAAACTGATGACTTCTTAAATCAAAAGGTTTAAACTTCCTTTGTTGTAAACCCCTAATGGTTACTTAAATCATGTGGAAATTAATTGCGCTATCTTAAATACCACAAAACGTTGAGGAATATTAAATTACGAAATCCTCAAAAATAAAAATTTTTAAGGGCTAAAAGCGACAGATTTTCAAATCACATGCTATGATTTTTACGATTTTCAGCGTTAATAAGATATTATCTCTGAATCAAACAGAAATTTGAATGTATAATATAACATATAACTATGCGATCGATTAAATTAGAAAAACTTAAAAAAAAAAAAAAAAAAAAACAAATTTCTCAATCTGATCAACTGTACGTTCGTTGAGGTCGACCTTCTTCCAACTCTTCCACCCACACTTGTCTTATATTCTCGTTCCGCGTATCTTCTTCCGTCCGTCCTCTCTATATGTCCAAACCGTCTTAACGTACCTTTCTCAGTTCTAAACACAGTTCTTTACAACACTCCCTAAAATTGATTTAATACTTCAATTATTAAGTTAGTTAAACTAATATATAGATATGTGGAATAAAACTTGATATTACACTTAAAAAAGATACTATTTATTGATAAAATAAAATTGTAAGCTTTAACCAATTTAAGATCTTCGACTTGCCGGTTGGTTATATTCGAAGACATTTTGACTTCTACCTTTAACTGTTTTAGCAGACTAAATTTTTAGAATATCCGCTTTGTTCTTGAAATCTCGAAAAAGCTAGATACATTTGCAAAACAACTTTTTTTTTATTCGCCGTTTATATATGGTTCCCTCTTTTAGCAATCTCTTAACTAATCACAAATTTTGCAATATTACCATTATTAGAACGTTGCATCCAGTAAGTAATGACTCGTCCGAAGTTCCTCAACGACTTTCTTCCTTGCATCACCGACAGGATATTTATTACTAAATGACACATGTTTAGTTGTGAAGTGTCTCTCCACATTGGAATTCTTGTTAGCCAATTTTTCCCGACAAATAAGACAGATTGGTAGGAAATTTGAGTTTCAAAAAAACGCAAAATTCGCAGTCCATTCAATATGAAATTCACGGTGGATTTCATGTTGAATGATTTTTCATCTTCTGTTTTTCTTTGCTCCTTCTTTGAAGCCATGTTGTTACCAGAAGGAAGGAATAAGGACAGAAATAGCGAAATGACGGAAGAGCAGCGAACAGCAGTTAGGCAAGAAAACAACGATATCCCGGGACGCAAGGAAACAGGAAATATGTTTTTATACCCATGGGAAACTGGATGTAAACGCGCATTACATATTATGCTTGTGTACATATTATGCTTTTTAAATAAAACTGAGGAAGCCTCTTGCATGAAACATTCCACAGCAAGCCTCCCTCCTGACTGGCTCACAAAACTAACAACACTCATTCAACTCGTCTATGAATTGTGCAAGCATCGCAGGAGGTGAAAGAACCTCGACTCAGGCAGTGGCCCGCAATGTTGGACTCACAAGCGCTATCCTAGGCTAACATTATTTATAAGATTTTCGATTAGGTGTTAGCTTCTACCTAATACGTCTCTAGTATAATAAGTCTGAAAATAGATAAGCAGTTAAAAGCACGCAGGAGCAATCAGGTACATAAATGTGATGCAATAAATTTCGGAACCGTCGGAGACTAAGTATGCGCATATCATTAATCAAATAGAGCCGGAGAGACCGTTATAAAACGTGTGCGTCGCATCGAGGCTGGACCACAATCGGACGAGGATACCAGTGTTATTTCTATCGGTATAATTGTACTGAAATCAGTAAAATTATTAATACAGCAGTAAAACCATTTCCAGAATCTGTACAATGACAATTTTAACTTGATAGACCAAATAACATAAAAATGAAATTTCGTGTCAGAACATTTGGATTTTTAGTTTTTAGACCTTTCCAATTTGAAGTTTTATCAGAATATTTTCAACTCAAATATCGTCTATGTATTTTATGCTGACTAAATTCAATTGCCAGAAGAATTTTGTTTCAAACACTGGAAAACAATTCAAATTTGAAAAGTCTAGAAGCAAAAAATTCTGATTTTTTAAAAATGAAATTTCCTTTCACGTTATTTGGTTTATCATTCAAGTTAAAATTTCCATTGAATGGTACATTAATTCAAAGTATTTCATTAGTTAAAATTTGGTATATGACAATTACTACGACAGTATGTATTATCAGTATAATCAAAACGCCGGAATTGGTAAAAAATATTTGCTAGGAATATCATTGGCGGATATGTTTTCATGCTAAATTTGAAGGCCTTTGTGTTGCACTTTAAAGATTTAAAGCTTTAAAGATAAGAGCCACATTTGTCTCGTAAGCTACGGTTTGCGACCACTGCCCTAATATAAGATATGTATTAGAATATTAGTAAAACTTCATGAAAAGAAAACAAATAATGCCATACGAAATAGATGTACACGATTGCATTTACTGATTTTCTGTTCAACTAATTTCGTTTAAATTCCTCATAACTGACAACACCACGTATGACCAAATATGTAGTGATTACTAAAGTTTATTTTGTGCTGTTTAGTGAATTTACTTAAAAGAATGCAAGTTCAAAGGATTTTATACGCATATTTTTGTATTATCTTTAACTCCTAGTCCTTTATATTTTACTTATGTTTAAGCATGAAATAAAAAATATTATTAATTTTTCATAAAATTTATACTTTTATTTTTAAAAAGATTTTAGTATTCAAAAATTTTTAAACGACTTATACATGCACTTTTTACTTCGATAATTTATCCTAATACTTAACATGTTTCGTATAGAACTAATCCTCACACCCATTCTGTAAAAAAGATATATATCATTAATTGTTAATAGACAGATCATTAATTATAAAAATTTCATCTAACTCTCAATTTGTTTTTAAATTTATAATTTGGCTTTAACTATTGTAGCGTAATTTCAGGAGACTTGAGATAAAATGGCAAAATGAGTAATTTGGAAAATAAATTTAATACTATTGAACAAATAATAAGAGACATATCGTATTGTACAGAACTGGAATAAAGCTATTCTATAGCTTACGTATTATGCTTGTTTGATTAGAAAGCGTGTTTTAAATCCACGATTTTGTTTGGAATTTAGGCATTTGATTAAGCCATTTCTCTTTGTATACATGATAAACGTAAATTAGTTTATGATAAATGTTTTCAGTATTTCACAGATTATTGATAAATTTATTTATTTAACACAATTTGTGAATATGTAATGGATACAAATTTACTAAATTGAGCATGACAACACTTCCTTAGAATTTTTTTTTTTAATTTTTTTTTTTTTATTTTTGCAAAAATATATAATTGCAATAAAAATCTCCGTATATATTTTACAATGTTCCAACATGAAGTATGTTCATTTCTGAAAGTATTCAAAAACAATGTGTACTTTAGATAGGATAACTTTCTTCAGTACTTTCCTTTTTCGATAAATTCTATTTTCACCTCCTCTTCTTGTTTCCTGCAATGAAAAAATTCAGTAATATGCTCCGTAACAAAGTACCGTTATATTTCTATTAGATATCTAGTAGCCATAGTTTGAATTAAGATAGAAAGTGATGTGCAAGACAATAAGCCTTAATAACAATTAAGATCAAGACTGAAATTAAAGTGCAAGAAAATAATAATATACACTATGTAATATTTAACCTAAAATATAAATCAAACCACAAAATAAAAGCTAGAGTAGCTGACGTTTAATACAAACATTTAACATCCTTTTTACAGAAAAGATATTAGCATTATATTTGAGATTAGCATTGATGATTTCCGTAATAAACAACAGTATCTTAGATTAGAATAAAAATATTAAAAGTTTGAAGGTAAAGCTCTACGTTTTAGTCTTACTTAACACCAGTGGATTAGTTTGTCTAAAATATTTTTCAGGTATTCTGTATATATCAAAGATGGCCATTGACTGAATTTAGAATTGATTAAACAAAAGCCTATATTTAGCATTAATTCCTAATGATGAAATTCCGTGCATTTTGATATACAAAGCACTGTTTATTATTATTTAATTAAGTTAGCGTTAACCTGAATGTTACTCATGTTATGAAACGTAGAGATAGAGGTACAGATAAGAGTATGGCAGACACCAGCGATGTACCATGGGTCAACTGGTAATGCCTTTCCATACTAAGTAACTCTTAAAAAAAGTGTAAGCTTTATAACAGTTTACAAAGAAAGGTTCAGGAAAGGAGTAACTGAGCTTTCCAAAGGATCTAGAGTTTACTTATGATAAACGTGCAATCCCACCGTACACCTCTGCTAAGAAAAGTATAAATATTTAAGTATAAAGAATAAATTCGATTTCATATCCGTTAATCGTGTAATCTTATTCATTTTTCATAACTGTCCATCAGTGGCTTAATAAAAAGTAATGCTAAATATTAATAATTCGACCCGGATGGAAATCCCCCTGAACGGGCTAGGTGCATGAGCAGTTTCGTGGTTTTCTCCATTTATAAATTAAACACGAGACAGTTTCCTTTATAAACCCTCAACTTCTATCCCTTAGAGAGAGAGCGCTTTTGTGCTTGGTCGTAATCAAATAATCCAGCTATATCACATTCTCTTGCCTAACAAAAATCGGTTGAGTTTTAATTTACTTTTTATTAGTTACTTTATTAAATTTTAAGAATCTTTCTGCTGAATTTATTTTTGGAGTAAAAATGTGTAAATAATATCAAATATTGCAGTTACAAAGTGATCAAATAAATAAAATAAATAAGATAAAATATCAAATATTGCATAATATCAAATATTGCAAGTGTTGGCCTTGCAATGTTAGTCATTCGAGTTAACCATAATCTCGAAAACTTTTGCATAGTTCACCTTTCGTAATAATCTAAATGGAATTACACTGGTTTTTAAGGTTACACAGTTTTCTAGGTTAACAAAGGTATATTGAGTTACTGAATTATGGCAAAGCACCCCAGAGTTTGCGAAGATTTATTTAATTTATCTAACAGTTAATTTTTACTCTAAAGTAACTTTAATCCTTATTTTCAACCACGTTTTCTGGCCGAAATATGTTACTAAGCTAGCCCGTGTGTATTTAAATGAGGTACAAAGAAGTAGTGTCTAAAGGAAGGCTTATGAAGAGTGTGTTGTGCCTATTTTAAGGCTATGTTGCTATCTTGAATTACTAGCGATTAGATTTCTGTGTCGTTGAATGCTTCTAGCCATTAAGCTTGTTTATGCCGACTTTTAGGAGTCAGAACCTTCCCGCGCGTTAAATTATCCTGTGAGCCGTTAGGCTAAACTTATTATATTTTAAGGCCATCCTTACCTCTTTGAGTTAATTTAGAAGTGTTGGCTCATATACGCCCAAGTGGGCCTATACATAAACTTATATTGCGTGAATAAAGGGTTCTTTACTCTTTGGTAAAAAAGTGTAAAGAATCTTCTTTGGACATTTTATGCTTAAGAAATAAGGATACTTCGTCGCACAGTTTTCAAGATCTCTTTAGTTTATGATATCTACGTCTACGAGATGTTATAAGTTGTCTACGTAAAGGAAGAGATGATTTTGTTGAAGACTTTCTAAAGGAAACTGGCTCGTATTTACATTATAAATGAATAAAACCACGAAACCTCCTGAACACAGTTTTTATGCAACTATTCGGCGGTTTTTTATGGTCAGCCTCTTTGCAGCAATTTGAATCTGTGTTGAACTACCAGTTTTCAACTATCTTATTCACTCAGGCAACGGCGAAATTCTCAGAATAATGTTTCTCCTCCATTGTGTGATATAGCCTCTCTTTAAACAGCATCAAGTGAAAGAAATTTGTACAAAGGCTCTTTTCGTTTTCTTTTGTTTAATAAAGAAAGAAGGAAGAAGATTGACCGGACGCTCCAATGTCTGCCTGAAATATCTATTCCATGCTAAAAAACATGAAATAAGAATTGCGCATTTCCTTAATAGAAAATACTAATGATGTGCAAAATGCCTAGAATACACACTAGTAATGACCTTTCCTCTGTATGGAAAAAAAAAAAGGTTTTAGCTAAGTACCTTTGGGGGGAAAGAACAATTATAGAAGCTAACAATGATTTATAAAAATTAAAAGCTTCAATTTTTTCTACGTTGATATTTTTACATATAATTTTTTTTTTATTTAATGCGTTAAATGTAGCAAATCTTTACAGCAACTGTAATGAACATATTCTGTTATTCAATCTTTTTTCCTTTTGCTGAATCTTGTACGGAACACTAGTTTAGTCGGTGCTTCAATTATTTTGATGTAGAGACTTACAATCGAACATTAGTTTAACATTAGAACATTCACCTTTATTTAAAACTTATAACGTCTTCTTCTTATCAGCATCAGGTATTTGAATTGCAGTGTCATTCCCATAGCTCGTAAGTATATTTTAAATGTAGCATGAATTCCAAACTCAAGACTATATAATAACTAATGAACGTTCATAAGTCACTGCCAAGGCCAAAGAGTGATTTTGGTTTAATTTATTGAGGCAAAGCCTACTTGGACTATTTGCTTAAGGGAAGATGCCTTCGGGGAGGCCTTACTAAGGGAAACTGGTTCGTATGCACGTTACAAATGGGGAACCACGAGAACGCCCATGCACCCAGTCCGTATGTCTGAAAATTGAACACAGATAGAAACTACCAATGTCCAACGATTTTACCGCTCGGCCGTTGGTAGGCCGCCACAGTGTGAAATTACGATGTGCCATTTGTCACAGTATAATTAGCATTTAATACTTTTTCTTATATTAGAAGTCGTACAGAAATTATGTCTTAACGGCACATCATAATATATGGGAAAATAATTTCCAGCCGTCATTAAGAAGTGAACAGAAAGCTTTCTTTTCAAGCTGCATGGGAAATTTTATCTATCTTTTGTGATTATAAAATAGTATTCGTAATATAGATACTTTATTTAATAAATCTGGTATCACATAACAGTTGCCTCCGCTCTTGTTCCTACTGCATGATTAAATAATAAATGCCTAATTAAGTGATATAATTTCCTCATCTAACTGTAATAAAGTATATTCCAGTCAATTTCTTAAAAAAAGACATCGAGAGCTCCAACTGGATATCGGATTGAGAAAATAATTTGCATAAAAACACAGAGCAGTTATGAGAAAATATCAGGCATTTATTATTTTTTCTAACAAACATGTCTAGTTATGCCAAAACATCTTAATCTGCAAATGTGGTCAAAAAGCTTTATACTCTCAATGACCTCTTCACGTATTATAGAAATAAAGGATATTTATTACTCAAGCAGAAGGACTGTAGTATAAAAACGGACATGTAAGCCATGCTGGTGTAACGATTTAGCTGGATGTTTCGTTGACTGCGTTAATTGAGTGTCTTTCGTAACTAGAATACTTGGAGAAGTGTGTAGTGACTCTGCGCATACTTCTTAAAACTTCAAAAACAAAGGCCAACGAAGAGGTAAATACCCTTTTATTTTAACTCAAGAAATATCTCTCTCACACATCTCTCGAGCTTACAGGAAGCATCCACTTTGGCTTGAACTTAAGATATAAAATGAGAAACTAAACTAAATTTAACTAACTAAAACTTACTCGAAGCTGTACAGAAATAACTACTCTCGCTGTATGCTGAGATAAGCATGAAACGTTCCGAGTGTCAGAAGTTTGTGTGCCATAATAAGGTCGTTTCAAGTAGAATGAGTGCAGCACAGTGAGTTCAGGAGGAGAGGATAGAAAATCGCGTAGCAAAATAACTAACCGAGTTTGTCTTTATTTACTAACCTCACCAGCGAATACTAAGAGGAACAGAGCAATACGGCCGAACGTGGTAAGTATTAGCTTAAAGCAACGACATATGTACAAGGCAGCGCACGCTCTAATGAGAACTTTTGAGCTCTTCTACGCAAGTGACCGAGACTTCCAATAAATACTAGTTCTACTACATTTACATAAAACGCGATACTGAAAATTGATTCTGGCAGAAAATTGCAGGTGGTAAACTGGATGATAAAGAAAAGGGGTTAATTTTTTTTTAATGGCCGGGCGCTTTATTTAATAGTCATTAACCTGACGCCATTATAAAGTCCGGAAGCGTTGGCCATTTCATTATGGATGTACCCTCGCTTCCTATGAAGGGGGCGGACAATTACAATCATGCCTTCTCCGGGATTCGAAAGACAGGCCTATCGCTATGGCAGTCAGGGTCACTAACCACTATACCGGCTGAATGGGTTTAAGGGGTTCAAAATTAAAAGTAACTATTAGAAAATTAAAATACCCCCTACAATGTAATTATATAAGGCCGCGCAGACGGTATGGTGGTTAGGGTAACTCACTGCGATACCAAACGTCCCGAGTTCGAATCTCGGAAGGCATGGTTGTAACTATCCGGCCTCTCATAAGAGGCAAAAGTGGCCCACGTATTAAGTGCCTTCATATTAAAGTGACCACTTATTCTGGCCTTAGTAGTGACCAATCTCTATGATGACTAGTGGCCGCCATTGGAAAAAAAAAGTGTAATTATGTAAATCATTGAAGCTGATATAAAAATTCTGTCAAAAACTCAAAATTGCTGTTTAATCTAATATATTTTTTCATCTTTATAAGGAATTTGCGCATTTTACAGAATTAGGAATTCCAGTTTGAAATCCAACCACACATCATGTATAGCAAACGATTCCAGATTGGATTACCTCAATAATATCTTTAATTGTTTTTGCATTTAAATATGAGAAAATCATTTTCATCTCAGCGTAATCAGCTAAAACTCATCTTTTCAAATATCTTTGAGGCCATTAATTTTACCCATGGCATTTATGTTTTTAATTTGCGGCACTCTATCTCAGGGACTCTTATAGTGATACAGTGCTATGATTAAATTTTGAATTGTTATCCCAATACTCAAAAATTATTTTGCCCGAGAAAATTTATAGAAACTTCCATAAGCCATTTTCAACATTTCTGTGTTTTGAATTACAAGACATTTTTGCTTGACGTTAAAACATCGCAAACTGAAAATATCTCATGCTGAGTATTACAGTGCTCTGGTATGAATAGAAAAGAAATTTTTGGGTTAGTTGTTTAGTGTTATGTTGTTTTAATTGCTTAAAATTTATAGGTATGCAGTTTAGAAGTTTACAGGTATGTAGTATTACATAGTATTTTATTGACTAGTTTGTTGTTTTAGCTTTTTAGAAATTTAGAAATATGTAGTGGCACAGGATATGTTTAACGAGTGATTCATATATGGCTTTACATGACATGTTTGCATATGATACATCTAATTTATGAATTTTATTTACGACTCATTTTAATATTCAACAATCACCTTAAGATATATCAGAATAATAAGAGCAGATATTCTTGTCAGCATTTAGTTTAAAAAGTAAAAAAAATTAATGCATATAATGTAATACGTGAAAACATACCGGCGAAACGTTTTCCAAAAAAACGGGCCTTTTATTTTTACTAGATTGCTATAAATAAAATTTAGATTGTGGCAAAAGATTAGTATCTTAAGAGAAAGCGCGCAGGAATATCAATTTTTTTTCATTCTGAAAACTCATTAATATACATAATAATTAATACACTTGTTGAGAGTAGGATGTTATGCGGAAACCTCAAAGTATGGATCACTAATAACATCTTTTCCCGGATCACAGCAATTCAGTACATAATGTTCATAACACTATGGCATGGAATGGAACATTAATTGTGTTAAAATATTAAAAAAGAACTTTATATTTTTGATACTACAATAGATCACAAGTGAAGACGAGCTGAATGGAGAAATCATGCCCATTCTGAGTTTAAACGTTCCAGCGAAAATGCGCTTGTTAGCCCATATTTTCGTACCATATGCAACGTTTTATTAGTTGAGCGTGAAAGACCGCTGGACCTTAGCAGTTCGAGCTGGGTTCAAATCCCGGCGAACGTATTGGCTTACTTTATTTCCATGATTTGCTTTCATATACTGTATGAGGAACCATCTGCGGCCGAGCGTAAAATCACTGAATGTTTTCAGTTCCGACCTGGGTTCGATTCCAGACGAAAGGACTTTCTGCACGTACGTTTTCGCTGTTTTTCCCATGTGGAACATATCTACGAGCCAGTTTTCCTTCCAAATTCCTTCACGAAATCATCCCTTAGGCAGATAGCTCTAGTGTTCCTTGCCATAATAAACCAAACAAAAAGTCAAACTAACCATATACAACGTGCAATAAGCCAGCTCCCCTTAGAAAGTTTTCTATAAATACGACCTTTCCTTAGGCAGATAGCCCTTGTGTGCTTTTCCTTAATCAGTTAATACAAACTTGGAAAAATAGGAATCATAATTTTTGTTTATTCTGATCTCATAATATGGGCAATTCCTAGTACCACCTATACATTAAGACACACTGCAACAATTAAAGTATTCATTGTTTATAATCTCCAAAACTTCTGATTAATACAAAAACAAGCATTATTTCTGAAATACTATGAACATATTTTATTTCTTTCTAAGCTGTCATGGATATTTATAAGACTGTTCTCAAGTTTTTAAGAAATACTTACTTGAACGCATTGTAAGCTAGAACTAAGAATGCGCCGAGGATAACACCCAATAGAATAACAAGAAATACAGCTGATGCAGAAACTTCTCGTTTCACTTCAGTGACTACAGGAATAACATAAGCATAAATCATATATATTCGAGTAAGTTAAAAATATATAAATCAAAATTATAAACTTTTCCCCCTAATGGCAGATTTTATTTGTTTCCAGGCACTGGCCACTACTAACGTTGGATGCGGTAGCCTCTATTAAAAAATCTGCATATTACTTGAAACAATGTCCTTTGCATAAAAGTGTATTAAGTTTAATATATGAACTTTTTGTTATGGCAAGTGTTTTTAGCCTTTAGTGGTACTACACCTCCTACAACAATATCAAAAATAAATAAATAAATAAATAAATAAAATAAAAATGTCTGAAAAGGTTTTTTTTTCAAATTTTAACTGCTGTCCTGAAGGGGGCTTTTAAAGTTTAATATGGTTTATCAGTATAGAATATCAATAAAGATGCTTAGATGAATAGCGAAACATTTTATATTTAGATTAGCATGGGAACATTATATATTTCCTAAGCATTAGAAACGTGAAACTATACATAATCTAAATAGAAATATTGAATGTTTTCGTTAGATATGTCGTCAGTTAAATGCATTTTTATTTAAAGGAACCAGATTAAAATGAAAAAAAAGTAATATTCCTAAGAAATACATCTATTGCTATTAAATAGTTTAGTTTGTTAGTCAATAAGAGACAGATTCAGTTTGAGATCCTAACCGTTTACCGAGTGTTAACAAACTCGAATGAAAAGCGAAGCAGTTCAATTAGGACGGCGCACGCAGAGGACGGCACAGTCGTGTTTAAAGTCTGATAGCTTTTTTATGTGATTAAAAAACTAATTAATAAAAAAGGGAGCAATGAAATAAGTAAAACTTATTGAGACTCTATACTCGTACATTATTTAAAGATCTAAGGATACTTAAATCAAAATATGACATTCGCTTTAATAGACATTTTTAAATAAGCCTTAAACAGATCAACATGACTGCATTGCAATCAAATCCTGTATTATAATTATCAGTCTTATCCATATCTTGTTTTCACAGTATAAGTAATTCCTAAACAAACCATTTTATATTATATTTTAAAAGCTTAATAAATAATTTGAAATCAGTATCAAAAACATGCGTAAAGTTCATCACAGTCTTGCATCAATTTCATTTTGAAGCAAATGAAACACTTCAAGTAGAATCTATTAATATGTTTACTGCCACAAACATTCTCTTAACAGGCACCCAATTAACTAGCAATATTAAAAAAACCTTTGGCAGTTTAAATTTTAATTTGAAGTTTAGATCCACGGTGAAAATGTATGTAATCAGTTAAGTAATTAAACCTGTAAGTATGAAAAACATTTTTATGGTTCCTCTGCCCAAAATAATAAGCCTTATCCAACCAATAGACCAAGGAATTATTTAGAAATTAAAAATGAATTGCCGATTTTGTTTCATGCGTGGTGCGAATTTTGAGGATAGTATCCATGATCTGGATGAACTCCGTAGTAAAAGATACAAGATGTACTTTGGAAATTACTTCGTCTTGAAATAATTCTTGTCAGAATTACTTTGTCTCTTGCTTCTAAAAAACATTGCTTTATCTCACTGTTGGAGTAAATTGTGGCCAATGATCATGTTCGCTTGGTTTTGAAAATGAATATTTGCTTGGTTTTCACCAGGTTCGGCATCCGTTACCAAAATTTTGGATTAGTTAAATATTCAGAGAAGATTAGTGTTAGTGAAGATGAGGTGCAGGTATGGGTGGATGTAGATATTTCTGTTTCCGTTACACTCTCCCAAGAAAGGTAACATGAAAAAATTGAGCATGTACTGGGAAAGAAGAAAGATGATAGGATGAAGGCGACACGCAGAGCAATAAAGTTACATAGAAGATAACTGATGAAGGATTTCAGGCGTTCATACAGTTTCTTAAGAAATACCCATCTATGTCATTACACGATATGAAGCTTCATTTTATGCACAGCAAACTTTTATTACTACGGTAAGAACCTTGTAAGGGGCACATATTCGATAGGTCATAGTTTATCACTTTAGTAGAGTGGTGTTCGACCAAGTGATCTTTACTACTCTGTATTTGTCCCTTTCTGGTAATTCTGAATAAGAAAATAAAAATAAAAAAAAAAATTTGGAACTCACTTATGCACCATTCGGGCTGTAGTCTTCCATAAAGGCAATTGTAGTAAATTAGCAATATAGCAATTACAATGGCAGTTATCATATCCCTTTAGCATATCTTTGCATATTGCATATCTTGAGCGCTACGGATGTAGCGACCTACTTCTATAGCGTTTATTAGCGAATGTGTCTCCCACGACCTCTCTATCTGAAATTGACAGCTTCAGCTGTGAAAACCCCGTAGCTCTCAGTTATATATAACCAATTAACTCCCTCCTAGTCGAAACTACGTACAATAAAAATAAGAAATTTGAAACATTCAACTGGTAGTAAATATAGTGATTTTAAAATACTGTTTAATTTTGTTTTTTCCGAAATACAAAATTATGTTCAAATATTTTAATTTTAAAATAATCAATTCACCATTTCCTCCACGACAGATTCATCGAATTGAAAAGCGTCGTCAAGGGTTAGCAACGAGATGCACTCGTCGGGGTTAAATGTGTCGTCTATCGTTACCCCGAAACTGGTCACTTCGAGTTTTCCAGCTCCCAGAATACGGTGGAAAAGAAAAGAGGATATTTATGGCCTTATTCGTTACACTGTATTCAGGGTTGGTTGTAATTGGATCAAACAAAGCACACTTGAATAGAAAGAAGTAGGAATGCCTTTTCATGCTCTTTTATCTATCATTGCAAACGGAACCACTGCTTGTTTAAAAGCGTACTTTTATGGGATTGCCTTTATTGCCTTTCTTATAAGAGACTAGGGAACACAAAAGGATTTTTCTCCTGCGTAGGATGATGCTGTTCAACATCCTTGTGTGTGGCAAATAGCTGGTTCAAGCTGAATCCCGCACTAACAATTAAACAGATCTTGAAAGCAAGTGGAAACGGAAAGAAAGATTTCTGTAGGTCTGTGTTTTAGGTCAGTTTCAAATAGAAAATGTTGAATCTTAGAGTCAAAAAAAGAAGCAAATGTTTGAGTTTTGTAAGACGATGAAATGGATAACCTGTGCGATGTTCGATAATATTTATTTATGATCAATTTATCCAAAAAAAAGCATGACCGTCAGACTGATATGCTGCAATTTCTGCAGAGGGCATTATCATACATGAGAAATTAAGTTAGTTCTATAATATATATATATATATATATATATTGTCAAGCTCCTTTGATAAATGTCAATACGCAACCTGAGTGTAGAAAAAGTATGTGATGAGGAGAATGAGCTTTCGTTCAGAATGTTGCTGCGCGTTTTTGCTCTGTAAATAAAAGTATATTTTTGTAACATAAATGTTCTTTACTACCTAATGCGAAGAGCTAGGTTAGTGCACGAATCTGGACTGATTCAGAATCCATTTTGAATCCGTGGATCACCATAATAAAAAAGTTATATATATATATATATATGTAGGCTATTCAGAAAGTAACTTACGTTTTAGAATAAAAAAGCAAATGAAAGTAAACATTTTGTATTACTTACATTTAAAAGGCACATTTGTCAGCTATTTTTCTACATAATCTCCGTACAAATTAAGACTCTCATCATAATGGTACACGAGCTTGTTAATTTCATCGTCATAGAATGTTGCCGTCTGAGATTTTAACAGTGCACGGACGCCTGTATGCAGTTCCTTGTCCTCGTCGAAGAGCTGTATTGCAAGCCAGGCACACACAAGTGTCTCACAAATGACGAACATTACCTAAGTCTCGTCTCCTGTTACGACACGATGGAGAAGCTATTCACTGTTCGTGGTACATCTCAAGAAATGTCAAAGTTGCTGCCATGCGCTGCTTTTTGTGGTCTTCTGACAAGAGTTTAGGTACTCATCTTTCACAAAACCTTTGATAGCCTAGATCTTTTGTCACATCACTAATCTGATCACTAAATGATCTGTGTCACATCCCTAAAGCTCGTGAAATTTGAGGAAACTCTAGGGAGAGCTCCGAACTTGGGAAGTGGTGGATTTCATGAACCTTTTCATCGTTTTTTTTTTCTACGAGTTCAGGCTTAACAATGCTTATCCGACCACTTGGAGCTTCCTCGTTAAAATTTATGCTGCAATTTTTAAACATGGTGCACCATTGTCTCACTTCGGCTTCACTCATTACTTCGTTTCCATACACCATATAAAGTTCCCGATAAATTTCAATTGGTGTCAGTTTTTTGCGCACAAAAATCTAATCATTGATCGCACGTCACAATTGGCGGGATTTTCTATTGCAGCCCATAATTTAAACATACACAGTGAACAAAGCAGAAGCAATACGTGCCGTCAATGATTACAACCGGATGCGTTAGGATTCAGTAGATACTCCGACCACCAAGTTGGAGATACTAGCACTATCTCTCGACGCGCAGCACCGAAACGTAAGTTACTTTGTGAATAGCCCTCGTATCTAACTATCCAGAAAAATCTTTGATCCGGAACCGGCAATGGCCCGCCGTTTTCGGTTAAAAAGCATTCTACTATATTAAACAAAATGCTGTTGTGAAACTGCAAAGTCAATATGTCATCTCTGAAATATCCTTTAAAATGGAATACCTGGGTCTACATGAATAAAGTTATTTAAGATTGTATTTTTGAAACAACATATTTTTAATATAGTTCTGTTGCTGCTGTAATTAATATTCTTGTCTTGAGAAAATTTTAGATTAAATTCACGAATTCATCATGAGAAAAACAGAAACGGATTTTCCTGTTGTTGGCAGAGGCTTTGGGCTTACAGATGACATTAAGAATTTGCCCAGCTCCATCAATATTTGTACAGAGAATACTCCGAGATACGGATCCACGGATCTCCTATTCCTCTTCTGTCAACAGTAACACCTCTCGATGCAGCTTTAAACTTCACAATATTTTAAATTCACCCCCGTGCTGCACAGACACTTTACATTTATAGCCATCTATATATTCTTCGTGCTTGAAAGTTGAACCCACCAACATAGCATGCAGCTCTGCTACTACCATAACGCACAAGGAAGCTTTATAATTCATAAAAACATTATAAAAATTAAAATTTCATAGGGAGAGCCACTCTATTGCAAGAAAACTTTCACATTTAACTTTTTACTTAAACTGACTGCTTGATGCCGCGACAAAAGAAAAAAAAAAAAAAAAAAAAACTACTAAACTTTGTACATACATAATCAAAACTTTTAAATCTAAAAGACAACAAAGAAAGATATCCTCCCCGGTGTTTTGGTAGAATCACGATTATTTGAAAAAAACAAAATTCGAAAATGCACTTCCACTATAATATCTTTAACACGCTATCTCTCACTAAATGAAAACTAATTTAGATATCCAACCTGAAAACACATAAATTTCAATACTGAATCTATAGATAGCCTTAAACCTTTGACATTTCAAATACCACACAGAACTCTTCAAAACACCGGGGAAAGATACAATCTCCCAATTAAGAAGTCTACTCTTCAAATCAAAATTAATTCAGTAAACCGATCGTATAGTCACCGACACTTAAAACTTATTTTTTTTCTACTACCGCAATATGAGTACCCAGGTTCGAATAAAAATAGCCATGTTTCCGTAAGGATCATATGGGTGACCTACAGTAGATCACAATTAATACACAAAAGAAACATACAATATTAAAGATAATAAACACATTTATTGAAAATTCCCACACATTATAATTTAAGATAGCTGGCCAGACTACGCCTACAAAATCTTTTAAAGTTACTCATAGTTTTTTTTTCTTTTCATAACAATCTCAATTTGAACATTATTCCATTAACACAAAATCATAGTGAAACACGTCACAGTTCTTAATCATTTTAAACAGGAACACTGAAGAAGATTAAACTCATATAAGAGGCTACTTTAGAATAAATCATATTGAGCATAGCACTTAAACATTAGAACAAAGATTCACTTCCTCCAATTAGTTCAATTAACTTCTGACTATTAAACATTAAATAAAAAAAAATTACTTTCTCAGCTAAAAATTTGGTAAAAATATTCAATTTTTATCTACTTAACATGACAGCTCTTGCTTTAGTATTAAACATTTCCAAATTTAAAAAGATTATTTAACAAGATAAAACACCAATGAAAATAAAAAGTCACTCACGAAATCCGCGGACACAGGAAGCTGCCCGGATCCAGTCACAAATCGCCGAAACAATAACTGCCAAATCTTCATCCTTTTCAGGAACCGGACTTTTTCACAGTTCCCGCTGTAACCACCGTCAAGCAGCATTTTAACTCAATCAACTTCCCGATTGTCGAAACTGGAGACAAAAGACCAAGGCAGACCTCAGGTGATGACGACCTTCCATATTTCCATCTTTTCTAAAGCAAAATAGAAACTCCAGCACGAACGAGCAGTTCAGACTGTTCCACAAATGGGAAAGAAACATCAGCGACGAAATTGAAAATTATAGGCCGCAAGAATTGCCGCCGTCAACATGTCGAGCACCCGCACTGTCTCGGACCCTCCGTACCCAGATTCTCGGAGATAAAAACTTAACTGTATACCGCGGTCGACCCCCAAAGAACCGCCGCGTTTTCCTCCGCTCTATCCCAGCACCTCACTGACCGCGACCGGCCCCGTAGGGTCCGCCGTCAAAGTAGCAAATCCGCTAAGGCTCCGAAAAAAAAAATCTGCTAAAAGTCTTCTCTAAAAAAATCTTTTTTTTCAGTCCAAAAGATATCTCCTGCCTCCCGTGCAACGGCTTAAGAAACCTCGGTATACACTCACCCACGAAACGCCTCAAAATCACTATTGGCTCAAACAACACTAAAATTAAAAATTTAACCAATCTTAAGGAAACATGGACTCCAGTTCGCCAATTAAAAGAAAGGTAATAAATAGCCGCTGAATTTCTCAGAAATTCAGAACTTTCTACAAGATGACAGACCCTTTCTTTCCCACGCAACAGAATGTTTCCAACCTATTACTCTGTCAAAATCTCCGCCCCTTAGAACTATTCTGAACGAGAAAAACACGTGTTTTCAACCCCCACGAAAAGAGGAAAATGCAGCTGGACAGTGACCTCTAACCTCCAAAGAAGCCTACGCGTCGGAAATACATCCGCGCCCTTTTAAGTGTAACACAATTCTGCCAAACTTAAAGGAGCTTTGCCGTAAAGTTTAACAATATTAAATATTATACATTAATTTAAAAAAAGCTCAATACAAATTCATTAATCACAGTAAAATAATGTAATAACTAAGAATACATTATGCACAGTAAAATAACACGCAATAAATATACACAACAAAAAAATACATAAGAATTTTCCATAACAAGACTGGTTTATTTCTTAAACTGAAATTATTAGCCTGAAGATAATTGTCTGTGATACATCTGTGAAGTCTTTTGAATAACCTTAGGCTATCTGTATATGCTTAGTCTATGTTCAGTCTTTTTTTACGTGTATATGTCTTAGTCTGTGTGTATGTGTTTAGTCTATGCGTATGCAAATGTACAGATAGATTGATAGATACGGAGACAGACAGGCAGGTGGCTATATAAGCATAAAATAATTAGGCAAATAGTTCAAGGAAATAGGCAGGTATTTTCTAGAGAAAGAAATGTGCTTTTAAAATATTATTTCTGTTGATTATTTATTACGTACCTATTTTTAGTACTTCACGTTCACATCTGATGGGATTATCTTCAGGATTACGTTTCTTGTGTTCGTCTTCGAATTTCCAATCTTTGTAATCATTGCATCTGGAAAATACCTTCATTATTAGATGATCTAAGCATTATAGCATATTTTTAAGATCCGTTAAATGGATGAATGGTTTAGTTCACGAAACCTGATAGTTAATTTCGTGTTCTTTTTCGTTTTATTTCTTTACTGCCACTTGCGATTGCCCCGAACTTGCCTTGTGTTCTACATTGTTATGTTGGAGATGAATATGCAGTGAGCTTTTAAAAACTGAAACGTTTTGGTAAAACATTTGTATAATTTATTCTTGAAATTGGTTAATATTACGTCACTTATCGTTGAAGTCAGAAAATTGGTTCAACATTCACATCAATCAAATGTTGAACGAAACTTCTCATTCTCGTTTGCTGATTTACAGTTCCAGCATTTGAAATTATGAATTGGGGATAAATTAACTGTCTTCCTTTCTATCTTTCTAATACTGTTTATATATATATCTATTTGTGTGTATATATATATATATATATATATATATAACATATATATATATAAATATAAACATATAAGGAAGGAAATATATATATGCAATATAAACAAAATAGGAATACTAGTAATAAAACAAGTAATGCAAATCAAATATAAATACATATTAAAGTAAAACATATAAAATATTTTAAAATAAACAAAGTGAATAAAGTGAAGTTTCATCAATAAACTTTTACGAACGTTAACAGAAAATTAACCGTTAAAATTCCGTTCACAGAACGTCAACGGAAAAGTTACGAAGTTTAATATATTTGAATATATAAAGGTTCCTTATATGTTTATATCTTATAGGTATAACATATAAGATAATCTTATATATTATTACATATTATTATTATTACATATACATTACACATTATTATTACATATAAGGAACGAAATATATATATATGCAATATAAACAAAATATGAACAATAGTAATAAAACAAGTAATGTAAATCTAACATAAATACATATTAAAGTGAAACATGTAAAATATTTTAAAATAAACAAAGTGAACAAAGTGAAGTTTCATCAATAAACTTTTACGAATGTTAACAGAAAATTAACCGCTAAAATTCCGTTCACAGAACGTCAACGGAAAAGATACGAAGTTTAATATATGTGAATATATGAAGGTTTCTTATATGCTTATACCTTATAGGTATAACATATAAGATAACCTTATATATAAACATATAAGGAACGAAATATATATATGCAATATAAACAAAATATGAACAATAGTAATAAAACAAGTAATGGAAATCAAATATAAATACATATTAAAGTAAAACATGTAAAATATTTTAAAATAAACAAAGTGAACACAAAAGTGAAGTTTCATCAATAAACTTTTACGAACGTTAACGGAAAATTAACCGTTAAAATTCCGTTCACAGAACGTCAACGGAAAAGTTACGAAGGTTAAGATAACCGAATTTCGTCTAACAAATGTATTTCATTTGGCTCAAAGCTGTGCACAGGATTAGAATTCTTCGAAAAAGGTCAAAAGATTTTCTCAGAACATCAAGAAAAATATCAAACTCTAAAGATAGCTAGCTCTTTTTTTAATCAACCGTTGGACATAGAAATATATACTTCCAACTGCAAAAGTGTCTTAAATGCAGCATATACTTCTGTTTTGTCGTTTTTAAATTTAAAGAAATCAAGTTTGTTTAAACTGATTTGCCTTCAGATAATTTCCCTTCATCTACGAATTAATATTTCACTTTAAAGGCAGCCGTTGTGTTCCTTTATCTTTTAAAATACTAGCAGTCTATACCATTATAGTATGAATTTTTTTTTAAAAAAATCGCTAACGTGCATTTTTGAGAAAAATTACTGAAAACACTTGTATATAATATAATAAAATAGTTTTAAGGGAATTTTAGATGCAATGTAAGTTCCTTCTAACTTCTAATGTGTAAATATAAGAGAAAGATATACTCATTGTATAAATTGAGAAAAAAAAAAAAAATCTGTTGTGGACTTCCTTGTACGGCCTAGTAAATTATACACATATTTTGCTGCATTTCATTTAAACGTATTTCCTCGAATTTAATTGGAGACATATTTCTCATTCAATTAATTCAGTTCTCACTTCCCGGCAAGGGAAAAATACATCAAAATTCAAAATATCTTCTTTAAAAATCGGAAAATATAGAAAAGCATAAAACACCACGCATTAAATTAAAACAATTAAAAAACAAAATTGACAGTTAAAATTAGAGTTTATAAGCAAAAACAAGAAATTCGGCCAGCGGGCAAGAAGGCAGATTTTTCAGTGCACGAAACTGAAGGTTTCCTTTTCGTCCTACTCGGCAAAAAGTCACTGAAGGTGCAGAAACTGAATTCAGTATTCTGTAAATTTAAAATGTAAATAAATATGGCTGTTGCATTGGGACTACCCGCACTTGAACAACTTTTAAAATTTTGATAATTCTGCAACTATTGCATGCAGATTAACTAAAGGCATAACCGGAACACCGAACTGAGTAACAGAGCGGGTATTATATATATATGTACTTTTGGTGCTGCCAATTAAAAATAAAAATGGAGGTGCACAATAGCATGTTATAGCAATCCTATATACAAGATTTCAACTTTCTAAGACTCTTTTGAATCCATTTTACAGTTCGTTTTAGGGAAAACGAGCTCTTTGTTCTTTCCTTGTATACAGATATCACTCAGAAACATCTTTAAATTGCTTTCGATAGCGGTCAAAATGGATATTTTCCTTGAAATATGACAAGCGAATTTTTTTGCGATTACAATACTTTCTTTACTTCGTACAAGAAAATAAAAATGTTTTATTTCCATAGGACAAAATTATACGGAGATATTTGATGTTAAATTCAAGCATTACAGTCATGAGCTGCTCACAAACTGAAGAGCAAAATGTTTGTACTTGTAAATCTTTGTAAATCTTGTAAATCTTGTTTGTACTTGTAAAAATAAAGTATCAGTGTAAAAAAAAAAAAAAATATCTGGCGTTAAGAGATTAAGGAATGAGCAGATCTATGCAGATTTTTGTTAAAAATGTTCACAAATGTAATTATGTATTTTACAAATAGCAAATCCTATTGATAGAACCTTAGAGAATTCTGTATGGAAAACACTGAGAGGCTTAAATAATGGCATGTAGCCAACTCGTAATAATATTTGCAATATTTAAAAATAAAAAAGTATTTGTAGTTTAATAAATGTTTTGTAAGATTATCAAATTATGATTTTATAGAAAAAAAGCTCAGTGAGAATTAATTATGGATATTTATACTAAAAATTGGCTTATTAATTGCTTCAGTGAAAGTTCTTCTGCCATACAAGATAACAAAATTATAAAGTGAGGACGCTATTAAAACATAAAAGAATACTATTGAATATCATTGAAGACCGAAAAAAATCCACTTCGAAATTCTTTAATTTATTTACTAACAGATCTCTTAGTGCAAATTGAAAATGGCGTTAGAAATGTTGTCTACCGTATCTCACAGCCACACAGGGTTGAATAATTAACGGTTGGTGTCTGCTCAACAAAATCCCTTAAGAGAAAAATTATGGTACCCCGAATTAGTTGGTACGAAATGTAATCTGGAGGATAAAACCTGCAAAGAATCATTCAGAGGATATAACCTTACCTCTTCACAATAAATCCACTCACTTCCAAGAGTACCGAATATGCGAATTTTTGAAAACTTCAATTGCGTTGTGTAGGTGTTGAACAACTCTTGCTTTAAGAGTCATGGGAGCACAAAACCATAAAATTCAGGCCAACACTACTTAATTTGAAATCACACTAAGAGTTTATTTAAAGAGGTATAAAATATCAATGAAAATGCGTAGATTTACTCACATCAAACCATATTATATTTCTACTACTATTATTCATTCAATAAAATTAATCGGTAAAATAAGTCTAATTTATTCACTATTATACTATAATTCACTTAAATTACATATTCGTTTTTTTAAGCAACATAATGACACAATTAATCCGGGTTAAGCTAATCAATCACCGGGCATTATTTGAGGTATCAGGTAGATATCTATTAATATATAATACACAGACAAAGAAATAACACAGTTAAGAGACTATTACAATTGCATTTGGTCTTCTAGCATGCAACTAACCTCACCGCTCTGTTCTATTAGCATCAAAAGAAAACTATTGCACTGATTAATTAGCATAAAAAAACAAAAAAAAAAGATTTTAAGTTTTACTAGCGTTTATTTTATTTTAAAACTTTACTATTCTCTCTTATTTTCCATTTCCAACCAGAATAACGCAAATAGGTTTGGTTATGCAAACTGAGCTTGCAAACTGTTAAGTACACTCATGTCCATAAATTAAGGATAATTCGGAGTCACGCGGAAATCGAACTCTAAAATAAATATATCACCTGTAAAATCACTACACACATCTTCAAGAATCATATGCAAATTTCAGGAAGTAACCAGATGACACCGATTGTACGTCACAATGACGAGAGTGTAAGAGAGTAATATATAAGGAATACAGACAAAGAAGTAAAATTGTTCGCAGGCACTTTATAAGCATTTCACTGCAATAAACGAATAGTCAGGACACAAAGTACGCATTTGGATGATTTTTTACGTGGTAGAATTATCGGCCGTCTGGAATGTGGGTGTACCCAACTGGAAGTATCAGACGAACTTGGAATTGTTATCTCCAGGCTTTGGCAACGATTCCAAGATGATGGTCATTATTTGACTCTCTTCAGCCAATGGTACGACAATTTCAAGGCAGACCGTGTGCAGACGCTTACGGCAGATTGGTCTATATGCTCGTAGACCTGTCAGATGCGTTCCACTTACTGCAACTCACTTTCGACTGCGGTTAGCCTGAGGTAGAGAGCATGCATTGTGGACACCGCAACAGTGGGCTTGTGTGATGCTTTCCGACGAGTCCAGGTTTAGCTTGCAGTCTGATTCTCGGCGGACTTTCATATGGAGAGTTCCAGGTACCCGTTACCACCAAGAAAACATCATTGAACGACACCGTTACGGTGG